GAGGTAATGGATTTACAAAAACTGTTGTGTGTTTCTCGCTTTTGAGACAGAGTCTCACTATGTATCCCAAGTTGTCTGCAAGCAGGCCAGGTGGTGCAGGCGGACAATGAACCCTCACTGTTCCTCTCAACTCAGCTTCCTGAATTTCTGGGGTACAAGCATGCACCATCATACCCAGTTTATGGGGTGCCGGTGATCGAACCCAAGGCTCCACGCATGTTTCGTGGCTCCATGTCTTTCCCTTGGTTTCCAGCCATTGTACCGTTCACTGCAGCCTGCAGATGCTGCAGACAGAGACCCTAGGGTCCCAGGGAGGGCTCCCTTAACCAGTGATCACTTGATGAAGTGATGTTTGAGGTGTCTGCAGCCTCTGGCTTCTGGGGATGCTTGGAAAGGCAGACAGAGTAACATGGCTTGTTGGGCGCCTTTGAGGACTCTGCTATTGGCAAGAAGAAAATCTTCTGTTATTTGTCTCCTATATTCCCAGAACCTCAGAGAGCGAGAGGTAGGGCAGCATTGTTCACAGCCAGGGGGAAAGCTGGAGTGAGAGAAGGAGAAAGCTGTCTCTTTAAAAACCAGAACCAGGGGCTAGAGAGATGGCTCAGAGGTTAAGAGCACCGACTGCTCTTCCAGAGGTCCTGAGTTCAATTCCCAGCAACCACATGGTGGCTCACAACCATCTGTAATGAGATCTGTAATGAGATCTGTAATGAGATCTGGCGCCCTCTTCTGTATACATAATAAATAAAATAAAATCTTTAAAAAAAAAACACACACAAAACAAAAACAAAAAACCATAAGGTCTGTGCAGCCCAGGCTAGCCTTGACTTCCCTATGTACCTAAGGATGACCTTGAACTCTGCAGGGCTGGCATTACAGGGATGCACCACTATTCCATTTGTATGGTGCCAGAGAGCAAACCCACGGCTTCTTGCATGCTGACCAAATACTCCACCAACTGACTGCATGCCCAGTCTCAAGCTATCACTTCCGGGCTCCTTCGTCTCCCAGGGGTCTTCTCTATCCTCCAGGACCAGGTCTCATCTATGAAGTGTGACTTAATCAGGAGCCCTAGGCATTCCCGGAACTCCAAAGTTACAGAGAGAAGGCCTCGTTCTGAATACCCTGAGCTGTGGGGAAATGCTTAGAGCGGGGTAAGGAAATGGAGAAGCGAGCTTTTCCTACGGCAGGACAAACAGGGCGGCCTCGGCTGCTCCAAACTGCACAGAGGGTCACCAGCCAGCCAGCACGAGCCACTAACACCCTGTTTCCTGCTCTGCCCTCCTGGGACTCATCCCACCCCCAGCCTCACCTGGATCCTCCCAAGCTCTTCCACATCAGATGCAAGGTGGCCAACTGTCCCTGTCTGCTCAGCAACCAGAGGGCTCTTAGCATGTGGGATTTGCAGCTTCAAAATAGAACAGTCCCAGTTAAATAGGGACAACTAGGTCACCCTGCACGGTGATGACATCTCTGATGAGTGTCTACCTGCTTTAGGACTAAGGGGTTGCCCTGTTTCCCTAGCATCCTGTGACTTCCAGGGTGATACCTAGGCATGAGGCAGATAAAGCTGGAGCACGTCTGAGTGCCCACGGCACCAAGGTGTGCCTCTGCATCCACTCCAGTTCCCAGACTTTGATTTCCCCTCCTCTCGGCCATAGGGCAGCACCCACACTGCACGACTCTTCCCCAAGCTCCGCTCCATCACTAGAGACTCCGAGACACGTTACTTAATTTCTCTGTACCTCAGTTTCTTCATCTGCCATGGGACTAGCTTCACTCTGTCGTCACAACAGGTGCATCACTGACTCTGCTGTGGCTCTCTGGGTCACACTCTCAGGTTCTAGGAGACACTAGGAGAACTTGAAAAGCTAAGTAAAGCTGCCCAGGCTCGTGGTTACTGCTTAGCACTGTGGAAGAACAGTTCCAACCCAGCAAAGACCCTGAAGACAGAGTCCAGGAAAGACCTCGAGGCTTCCAGCTGGACTCTCGGCACGCTTGTGTGCATGATGCTTAATTTTCTCAGCAACGATGTGTGGTCAAGTCGTGCTGACCAGGTCAGCTCCTCTGAGTATTAGTGTCCAGGTTTTTTATTGGTGGCTTATCTCTTAGGCAGAAAGCAGCGGCTGACCTTAGTTCTGCAGTCTGCAGCTCCCCTAGAGGTCAAACCGATACAGCATGATGCAGGGTCCTGACCATAAACCACATTGTTAGCTAGCATAAACCATCTGGTGAGAATGGAGGAGGCCCCAGGGAGGAAGCAAAGTTAGTCCGTCAGCCAGGCTATTGCAAGGGCTCCGAGGCTAGTGGCCCAGAATCTTTTCAATGCAAAAGTTTTTTTCAAAAATGGCCTCATCCCAGATCAGCTGAGGCAACCCTTTAGAGCTCAGAAGTGTAGTAACACCCAACATAGTTTTTGTTTCTTATCTGAGGACGGAGTCTGCTTCACGAAATCACCTGTATGTTGTCATGACTGCTCCCGTACAGGATTACATGCTTTCACCTGAACCCTTCTTCCTCATTGCTTATGTACTGGCCTCTTTCAGGATGGAAGGATATGTACTCAGATAACATCCTTGGCCTCTCTCTTTCTCCCACCCACAGAAAGAGGAGGACGTCCAGCCTAGTGACTTTGGAGACAGAGCACTGCTCACCCAGCTCACATCACTTCCAGTCTCCCAAGCTTTCTCTGCTCACCACACATCATTCCACACGTCCATAGATGCAGCCCTTTGAGGGACCCCCGGCTGTCCACCACCACCTGCGCTGTTCCTGGAGGTGACACCAGGTTTAGGGACAAGGTTCCAGCTAGATGTGGCTGACAGATCCTAAACCACAATCTCAAGCAAGTTATCAGCTATCAAGGTGACATCTTGTCTCCATTAGCCTGTCTTCTGCGTTTCTCCTCAACTGATGCTTAACCTGAGCAGGAAAAAGAGAGGTGACACCCATTAGGCCCCTCAAGACCCCGAATGCACAGTCTTTCCAATGCTTGCAATATCATGATTGGGCCTTTCCTAAAAATGTCCCTGCCAGGGTCCCCAGGTCCTTCTTTCTTGTCCCCTCCCCGGGATATTCTGGTCTCTCCCATGCTCTGGTCATGCTTCCAGCTATCTAGGACCCTCGAAATGTCAAGGTGTCAGATCAAAACTAAACATTGGTGGTCTTATTGCCAGCAATCGCCTAACTTCTTCTCAGAACACCACACACACCTTGAGTGCCTTTAGATCCTGTTTCCTCTACAGAGGGCAGACCTCCATTACCAGTCAAGCTCTTCTCATGCTACATTTGAAAACTGTGTATGTGTGTGTGCGTGCGTGCGTGCGTGTGTGTTCTCCCTCTGTGTCTTTCTTCAACTGTCTCTGCCTCTGTCTTTCTCCTGTCTCTCACTATCTCTCCTCTCTGTCTGTCTCTGTCTCTGTCTGTCTGTCTCTATTCTCTCTGTGTCTCTCTCCTCTCTGTCTCTGTGTCTGTTTGTCTCTCTCCTCTCTGCCTCTGTCTCTCTCCTCTTCAACTGTCTGCTTCTCTGTCTGTCTCTCTCTCTCTGTCTGTCTCCAGGATTTAGTGGTTTAAGAATCCCTCCCCGCCCCCCCCCAGGAAACACTCCCTTCTCCCAGCGTTACCCTCAGCAGTTTCATTACTTTGTCTCACCCACACTATACATCCATAAAGCTTTCCAAAACACTCCAGCACAGAATAAAAGAACTAGATGGTCCTAGATTCAAATCCCAAGTCAGCAAGCTTTGATCTCGGGCAATTTATTCTGCTTGAGTCTTGGTTTCCTCATAACGCTAAAGTGAAGTGTGTCACGGTGTGTACTGTGGCTGACGACTCTGAGCTCTTATGTGGTTATCAATATTACTGTTGCTAATCGCTGCTTCAGCTAAACTGGAGCAGAAGCTGCCTATAGTTAGAGCAGAGATACAGCCCTTCTGGGTGGGTGGTTGATGGATGGATATTGTGCTTAACCATGGGTCACAAGGTCCTTTGGTGAAGGCCAACTTGAGGGGATCCAAATATTTACATATTATTTCAGAGAGTCCATGAATAAAAGAAGAGGATGGGTGAGGCCCCAGAAAGTCAGAGGGTTCTGAGCCTGGCTACAAGCTCTGGACTAGAGAGACCTCCAGGTCCTCAGGCTGATGTATGGCAGCATTTGGGAGGGACCAGCAAAAGAATATATGAGTCAGTGAAATGGGCTGATGATACACACAAGTCACAGTGACTGCTAACGGCTCCCGTCACACCTGTTGTTCCAGGACCCCAGAAGGGACTAGCCCAAAAACAGTCTGGTTGGTTCAGGGGTTTGTGAGGCCGAAAGATGTTAAATGGGCGTAAGTGGCCTGGACTGGGAGCACTAGTCATCCATTAACATGGAGAAAACAGAGGACAGCACTCTGCTGCTTGTGGTCAGTTTCCGTATGAAAACAGCACTGTCCTGCCTTCAGGAGATGCCCGTGGGAGCAGAGGATGGGGGGGTACATTGTCTCATAGATGACAACACACCCTAGCGACTCCTGCTCCATGAGTCACATGCAGGCTTCTCTTTCACTGTTTTATTGTGTGTCTCCCAGGTGTCACCTGGAGGTCAGTGTGTTCTCCCGGCAGAGCCCTAGCAAGGTCCACCACAAGCAGCAACCAGGACAGGCTAAACGGACAGGAAGCCGAGTTCTACAAAAGCAGTCAGGAAAAGAGACAGACGACAGCCCAGGGACGCCAGCAGACTGAAAAAAACAAGCAGTGAGGTCAGGAATCACACAGTGCAGCCATCTGAGGCCATTTCAGGATGTGGGCCATTCCCCTCACGGTGTAGACCACACGTTGACCCGCGTCAGTAAACTGATGGTTAAGTGACGAATCACGAAAGCCTGGAGTTATTAAAAGAAAGGTAAATCTGTTCAACACAACCAGTTTTAAGAGTATACAGGAGAAAATGCTACACATCCAAGCAACTGTACCATTACAAACAGGAAGCAGATGGAGTGAAGGTCCTTCCTTGAGGAGCTGGATAAATGGAACTTCACCCAAAAAAACGTATTTTTTTTCCTTTTTTTTTTTTTCTTTTGCCTCTGTGTGGTGGTAGCAGGAAAGCCATAAAAATGGGGAGAGGGAATAAATGGGGACTTAGCGTTTGTCCTTCCATTAAAAAACACACACAAAAAAAAATCGTCCAGTTGCCCGCCAGCCCAGGCGCATGTGCGCGGGCCCTTCAGTCGTCCTGGCTCTTCCTGGTGACTCGCCCCGGGTCGTGGCTCCTGGCCAGCATGTTCTCCAGCCGCTGGCAGTGTTCACGAAGCTGCTTCTCCCGGGGCAGGAGGAAGGTGAGCACCTTGTTGCGAACGACGCCCCGGTCCTCCTCCTCCCTCAGCCGCTGCTTCACGCGAGCAGCCTGCTCCTCCTGCTGGGCCAGGACGCCGTTCATCTCGCAGAAGGCGTCCTCCAGGTAGCTGATGGCCTTCAGAGCCTCCTTCTTGAAGTCCTCCAGCTCCCTTTGCACCGCGGCCACTTTCTGCTGCAGGATCTCCAAATCGGCTGGTAGAGGGAGGCAGGAGGGCCATGAGTGAGACAGGGAAAGGTCCCCAGACTGGAGCGCACTCTCCACCATCTTCCTGCCCTGTAAGGTATTCACCTTCATGAGGATGGACCCTGCCTGAAAGAGGGCTTCCATCATCTCCTCCTACAGAGAGGAAGCCAAGAAACCAACTGGGTCAGTTATTTGGGGGCTAGAGGCGCTATCATTTGGAGTGGCTAGACCCATCTCGATTGTGACGTCAAGGCCCGTCAGCCAATCAGAAGGAAAGCTCCAGTTCACTACTTTGCATACTGCAGCTTCCTTGGTTGAGAACTTAATAACTGTGCTTGCTTCCCAAGTCTAACTCAGAACCCGAGTCCAGGCGTTCCTTTAACCCCAAGGGCGAGCTAAATCCCAGAGAGTGGAAAACCGCTGGCCAAGACAAGGTAGACCAGGTCAGGTTCACAGACTGCCGAGACTGCGCAGCTTCCCACCCCACAAGGAGCACGGGCTGTGTTACAGCCTGGTATCTGGGCTTCCTTCAGCCTCGCCAGTGAGACAGGGTCCTCATAAGAGATGATGGCCGATTCATAGCTCTAAGGTGCTAAAGGAGTATTCTAATCCCAAATCCATATCCTTCAATGACGCCAGGATGGTTAGATGATCGTCTTGTTGGGATAAATGTGCTTGCTTTTGAAGTGGGGTCCACAGAAATACCCTATGCATAAAAATGAGCCGTTCATATTTATTCAGTAAAAACTTCCTGAGTGCTGGCTGGGTTCTGGAACTAGGGGACGAATGTGAGTAAGTCCACGTTCCTCAACATATCTGGATGGTGGCAGATAAGAAAGGGGGGGAAATGTGGATGGGTAAATCTTGTGTTTTTGCCCGCTTACTCTAGTTTCTAACCACATTTGGCTCACAAACCTCTGCTTTTGCAGATTGCAATCTCTCGCCCAGACCTCCCTCCAGAGCTCCAAACATAAACATCTCCCCAAAGACCAGCCTCGAAGCCAGTCCTTCCAGTGCTAGACAAATGACCTCTTTACCCAAGCTGGTTCCTGCTCTGCTGTCCTACAAATGACCCTAACTGGGGCAGCAGCCATGACAGCATCTGGTGCCATGGTCTGGATGTCTGTCCCCTTCCCAATTCGTTTTGAAGCTCTGTCATCCTGTCAGTGTTGAGAAGGGGGGGGGGGGCTTTAGGAAGCAGCGTGTGGTAGACAGATGTTGCCATCTCCAGAGTGGGTCCCTTTATCAAAGCCTCTGCTTGGTCCCTTCCTGTGTCTTCTGCCATCTTTGCCTTTCTGCTGTGGGTACCTTCCACACGGGGTGGTACAGCATGAAGGTCCTCACCAGACACCAGCACCTTGGCCCTGGACTTCTCTGTTTCTGGAATTATGGTATTCTAAGGAAATAAATTCTTTTGTCGTCATCTTGTAGATTTTGCCGCCTCTGATATTTTATTTTGTCACTGCAGAATAACACAGAGGGAGCCTCCTGGAATCAGCTCGACTCCTTCACGTCCAAATGACCTGAGAGGCCACCGTCAGGTCTCTCATCTCTGAGCACCCTCTCGTCCACCCTCCTGCACCGTGGGCCGGGCCTCACCACTTGGAAGCCATGTCTCAGTAGACGGACACCTTTCCCCTTTGAGCCCATTTCCTTCCCGGGGTTTCTGAGAGCCGTGGCCTACAGCTCTCTGGGAGAGAGAAATAAATCTCTGACGGGCAGATGCTGCCAATTTCCATAGTGTAAATACTCCCAGCACGGATGATTTTCAAGCTACCAACTTGCTGTCTCCAGGAAGTGAAGCACCAAATGAGCCCTCCTGAGCCCGGATAAGCCGACTCCAGCACCAGCAGGGCCCATGGTGAGGGCTGCTGCCTTCTCTGAGATGCAGGTAGACTGTCTAGTGGCCGCGTAGTCATCAGACAGGGCCTATTGCAGGGACAGGCGTAGCTAAGTGAAGGTGTGACTTTGAATTGCAAGAAACTCCAATTACTAAGAAGGAACGTCGAATGGAACGAGTAACTAGGAGTCAGGGAAGCTGCAGTCGGGAGCCGCTCTGTGGTCCCGGGTCAGTCATCTCCCCTCTCTGAGCCTGCTCCCCCGCGCTGTGATGGGAGAGGTGGGAGAAGTCTTCTCTGCAGACTCCGGTGTTCTTCGCCCCGCCCCCCCATAGCCTTTCTTAGCTTCTCTCCCCTCTTTCTGTCACGACTGTCACCTGGTTCTGCCAGGACCCTTAGGCACAGTAAACTCCAGCAAACAGCGATCATGTATTCCTAGACCTGTTTACAGTCAAGTGTCCTGCCTGCTGCCCTGCATACAATGGCGCGCAGATAACTACAAGAAATGGAATTTCCTTCCGTAGGTGGCTCTCCAGTGCCGGGCACCCCCAAGCTTTTCTGCTGACACATTGACACCTACTGGCCTTCCCAGAAACCGCAGCCTCAGAATTGCACCTAAGAGTGGGTGGGGACCAGGAGGTCGATGGGAACAGCATGGGGGTCCGTGCTGTATTTAATTAGGGCTGAGTGTTGGACACGTAATGGGTTCTCCATCAGTAAATACTATTTCTCGGATTAGTGAAAGGGAGAACAAAATAAAAGTGTCTCCTCTGGTCTCGTCCCTCTCCCGCTTCCCCTCCATCTCCTCTCTCACTCTTGGCCTCTTTGCTTCACATGGGTCACAAGTCACAGCTGAAGCTGTGACAGGGAAGCTGAAGCTGAATTGGGAGCACTTTCTCAGCTCCTCTGGTGCTGTTAAATGAGGCTCCAGTTTGCTTCTCGGAACCAGAGCGATCCCCCTTATCCTAGGATGGACAGGAGACTGAGAGCTGGGGCTGTCACCAGGCCTGTGGCCTCCTGAGCCTTCCAGACTGTGACTTACACTGAATACGCAAGTTCTGAACGTTCCCCTGTGCCAGGAAGTCCCCCACTCAGGCCTGGCCTTGCGCACCACCTCCCCCCCCCCATATGTCTTCAGAATGAGGACTGCTGATCTATCAGTTCCCTTCAAGGCATCAGGAGAAAGGGATTTAGACCTACCAAAGCATCCATGACCTTGAATCTCATTGTCATGAGGGCCCCTTGCCTCAGTCTCTTTCAGCTTGTCACAGCTTCCCTGTGACTCAAGATGATAGGGAGACATGAGGGATGTGGCAACTTTACAGAGACCCAGGCCTCACCCCCTGGGAGTCCAGTTCAGTCAGAATGGGTCGAGGCTTGTAGATGGCATGCCTTGAAGCCACTGAGTTTGAGCATAATGTGTGACCCGGGTTCTGAAAACCATTTCTTCTTGACCTGGGCACCTCAGGAATAGAAACCACACAGCATCCCTCCCAGCCCCCTATGTTTTCGCCTCTGTCGTGGGACAGACCCCAGCCCTTTGGGGAATCAGAGAGGACACCCACTTCCATCTCTCCTGTCACCTCTTTGTCAAGTCACAGAACCCCAAGAAACCAGAAGCTCCTCGTGCCCCGTTAGAATGGCGTCCCCAGCCATTTCTAATCCCCAGTTGCCTCACACAGCCACACTTCTCTTCCTGGGCTGATACATAGGCCTCCCAATATCAGAACCAATTGGGGATTTGTACTCAAACAAATGACGAGAAGAACAGGCAACTAACTATGTCTTCCACGAAGAATGAGTGTATTGTTAAGACCTTGCTTAATCCTCAGATGATTTTTTTTTTTTTTGAGACAGGGTTTCTCTGTAGTTTTGGCGCCTGTCCTGGAACTCACTCTGTAGCCCAGGCTGGCCTCAGACTCAGAGATTCACCTGGCTCTGCCTCCCGAGTTCTGGGATTAAAGGTGTGTGCCACCACCGCCCAGTCAGATGAACTTATTTTATATAATTTTATTTTATGTGCATTGGTGTGAAAGTGTCAGATCCCCTGGAACTGGAGTTACAGACAGTTGTGAGCCATGTGGGTGCTGGGAATTGAACCTGGGTCCTCTGGAAGAGCAGCCAGTGCTCTTAACCACTGAGCCATCTCTCCAGCCCCTGTCAGATGAACTTCTTATGTCAACATTCAGGCGGTGGCTATCTCTCTTCATTCTCCAATGCTGGAGAAGTGGATTTCAGAGCAATGTGCCATACTCTCAAAGAGCATGTGGGCAGCTAGTTCCAGAAAAGGGGACAGCTGTGGATTCTAGCTATTCTTTTCCTGGAATCCCCTGGTCCTGTGCCTCTCATGATGGTTACACTGGCCTAAGACAGGTCACTACACAAACACCTCTTCCAGCCAGGCTTTCACCCACCCATCCGTTCATCCACTCGTCTATCAACCCACCTAGTCATCACTCATCCGTCCCCCTCCCGTTCATCCTCCCACCCATCTATCTACCTGGATTTCCATCCATCCATCCATCCATCCATCCATCCATCCATCCATCCATCCATATACATACATGCACAACCCACTGCATGCTTACCCTGCGTTCTCTGAGCTAGGCAATAGGTGTTCAAGAGGAAGCACGTGACATAGAAGAAGGTCCTGGTCTGGGACAGCCAGCATTTCACTGCAAGAGGACAAACAGTGAGGTAAGCAATCAACACATATGGCCATGGGGCTGGCACCCGGTCCCTGAAGGAAAGAGTCAAGTTGTAGGAAAAACCCCGAGGCTCAGCAGAATGAGGGGTTTGTGAGGCGACGCTCTGGGGATGATGAGACACAAGACTGAGAGAGACCTGGAGATAATGTTCTAGGGGACGGGTGTGGGGCAGGAAATGGGGGGGAGGGGGGAGAAGCAAAGGAAACCTGGGTCTTACTGTGCGTCTGGAGGCAAGCAGCAGCCGCAGGCAGTATGACGGAGGGGTGGACCCAACGGGGAGGGGGGAAGAGGGTTTCCCTCATGCTGGGTGTGTGAGGGCCATGTGGGGCTGCTGCAGCTCTGGGCAGTTTCCAACTCTGCAGCTGGTATCCCAGGCTGGGCAGTGAGAACAGACTGGAGTTGGGGGGTGGGGATGAGGATGAAGAACAAAACTTGGTGCTGTTCACCATGATTAATTAACCCAGCGCCAGAACCCCCAAGGCACGGTGCTAAAAATACCTGCTTCCCTCTGAGATGCGGCAGCTGCCACCCAGCAACTTTTAGCCATGCCATTTGTCATAATTTGACACTGCTAAGGAGTGTCCACAGGGCTGTGTTTCTGCAAGGATCGGACTCGTCCGGAGCCCACCAGCCAGCTGGTCCTTAGAACCCACCCATGGTACATTTCTACAGTCTCTTTCTGTGTCTCCGAGCCCTGCCTGGGC